GTGCAACAAATGCATGTGGTGCATGCTACATGTCCTCTGAATATGCTGTGAAAAAGTCCAGTCTCTGTAGGCAGCCCAGGCTCCGAAAATGGCAACAAAAACACTTCTGTTTACGTTCAGCAGTGTTATCAAACACAACAGAGCTAGCTCGCCTTTTAGCCTCAGTGTAGCCAGTAGCTCTAACTGCCTCTCTGGGCACCTTGTTCACGTGTGCATGCTTGCGCAAGACTGCGAGACATGGGCACCGCGTTCATTTGTGTGTACTTGCTTTCGCTGGTCTTGTGCTGGCTGGTTGGCGCACCCTGGACCACAATGTTTTTGTTGCCATTTGCGGAGCCTGGGCTGCCTACAGAGACCGGACTTTTTCACAGCATATTCAGAGGACATGTAGCTAGCGGAGTGCGAGGAGATGTTTGCTGTATGTGACAAAAACTTTTCAAGCTTAGGAAGGCTTAGAGCCTTTAATACGGGAAGCAAACAGCAGTCTCCAAGGTGAAAGTCCGGTCATGTGACCATGACAGTTCCAGATGGCGTTTCATAACGCTGCAAAAGGATGCTTTTTTTTCTTGTCAGTTTCTGACGCAGAAATTAAGGTTGCAACGGTATGAGATTGTCATGGTAACTGAAACTTAGTAGTACCCATAAAAAGTCTCCCCTTTGAAGGTAAAATGAAGGGGAGACTTTCTGTCCAGTTGAATTATTTTTCGATGTTGTTTTTCAACTTTTATATCACGGTATACCTTGAAACCAGTATTTTGCTGCACCCTCGGGGAAATCAACAACCAAGCAGCAGTTTTTGATTCAGAATAAGGACATGTTGGATCAACAGCTCCTATATAAAGTTTTCTCTGTCCCAGACCTGTTTTCTGTTTTATGCTTTGATTCGAAGTGGATATTTAAATATTTGTCACTAATCAATAGTTATGTGTGCAAACATTTCTCCAGCTCATCTAAATGAAGCTCAAATATAAAACATTGGCTTCCTCTCAGTCACTGTGCTGCTGCTGTTTAATCAGAATGCATCAGCGAAGTGTTTATTTAATTTTATTTGGTTCAATTTCCTTTAAACTCTAATATTAAAGATTTCAAGCTGCAAGAGTAATTAGAAGACAATAAAGCACTGCAGAATAACAAGTGCATGCGTCACTGTTGGAGCAGATTACTCATGTAAACACCTGCAGATAAATGTCAATCACACCCACAATGACATTTAATTGTTAGAGTGTAGACATCACCCAGTAGTTAACAACCAAGTGTATCATTAACTGCCTCACCTGTGTAAATTCCCACAAACAAGGCCCTCTGGAAATTCTTCTAACATGAATATATATCTTAAATATTTGCTCACATGTTCAGGTCATGTGTTCTCTGGCATGAAGTTTACGTGTGAGTTGGGATGAGATTGTTGTAAGTAATTAATAAAAATATGCTTCTAAAAACAGAGTTTGTTGCAGGGTTTTGATAAAGGACTCCAGTGTTTCGCTGCATCCAGCTGCACATTAAGGAACCTTGAAAGGGTAACTAATTATTTTTGCAACATGGACCCTATTTTCCAATCATTTTGTGTCCAAGTGACTTATGGGAACTTTTGAAATTGGTCCAGTATTGAGTCAATACGTTTCCAGTCACAGTGAAGTGGAGCTGCAGTCCCAGCTGGACGAGGACATCTAACTGGCCTACTGTCCTTGTCCCAGTATACAAGCACGGGAGGGGAATCCATTTATTGAGCCAAGTATGTGCGACTCCTCTACGATAGGTGGAGATATGCCCCCTTTCAGCTTGTTAGTATTGGACCTTTTTCCTGTTGACCTATTACGTCACAGACCAAACAATGGACAAACAAGTTAGCTACGGTTAGCTAGCAGCTAACTGCTACCATGGTGGACAACTTTACAGCTCTGTACATTTGGTCCGTCCAAAAAGTCACGGCTCTGGATGTAGATTTCTCCATGTTGTTACCGGCTTCTTCTTCTCTTACACATTTAATGCTATTGGACTTCTGGGTCAAAGCCCGGGGCGGAAACTGTGGAGCATGCTCAGAGCGCCTCGGCCAGTTTGGGTCTGATTGACTGTATACATGCAGGAGTCACATGATCTGGGTGTGTTAGTCTCTCACAGTCGATTTATTTATGATTTTAGTCGGACTAATATGTTTACGTGTATTTAAAAAGTTTGGTTTTACTCGGACACGGTAGATCGATTTTCTCTAATGTCATGTAAACATACTGACTGAGAACGCTGCAGGCAGCATCCATAAAAACAGGCTTTGGGCATGTGCGCACAAAACACACTATAACATGCTAGTTTGTGTCACTGACATTAGATTCTTTTTGTTTAACCAGAAACAGACCTGAAACCTACCAGACACCATTCAGTTAAATAGTAACTTTATCATTGTAAAACTGGTGCTGGTGATCGCCGTGGCCGAAGGCATTATGTTTGCGGGATGTCCGTCTGTCTGTACAACATTTGGTAGGTCCGTGCATCCCATTCTTGTGAATGCAATATCTCAAGAATGCTTTAAGGGAGTTTCTTCAAATTTGGCACAAACGGCCACTTGGACTCAACGATGTGGTCAAAGGTCACTGTGATCTCATCCGTCTCATTCACGTGCACTCAGTATCTCAAGAACATTCACTTGGACTCAAAAATGAACTGATTAGAATTTATTGGTCAAAGGTCACTGTGACCTCACAAAACATGCTTTGACCTTAACACCAGAACTAAGGGTTCATACACTGATTATGACAAAACTTCATACAAATGTCTAACTGGATGAAAAAATGAAGTGATGATGTTTTATATCCAAAAGCTCAAAGGTCAACTTCACTGTGACATCATAATGTTCTGCAGAAAAATTCTTTTCTGACCATTATTCAACATCCATGTTCTCACAGACATGGATGTAAACTAGTGGTGGAACATGACTGGTTTGCGGAGGCGTACAACTGCGAAATGCTTGTGTGGGGGTTTGGACAGTCTGCAGGACAGCCAGGGGGAGTTTGGCTTCTCTTAATTAGACATGAGCTCTCCAATAAACAAGATCTGTGAAATTTTAGAGGGACTCTAAAATATTGACAGTATGGTATTTTTGCCATGTATGTTTATTGCTTTTACATCTCCATTATCATGGAACATGCATAGAATTAGGCTATTATTGATGTATGATTAGTCAGTGATGATAATGATCAAGAAAGTATTGTGCTCATCTGTATAAAGTAACTAACTATTGTTAATAAGGACTTGATCTCTTGTAGGCGGCTTGGTGTGCTCTGTTTGTGATTTAATGCTCATACATGTGTGTGTTTATGGGCTGTTTTACTATTTGACCTACCTGTGTCTCATAGTGTGTTCCGTTTGTGCTGGGAAGTTCCCACTCAAAAATTTTAAGTGGAACACCCCCTAAAGTCAGATTTCCAACTCGGAAAGTCAGAGTAACATTCTCTTCCCTGACCTTAAAATCCAATATGGCTGCAGTAGTGAAAGCTGTAGTAATATATTGTTTGGCAGCACTTCTGTCTTACTTGTGTCTCACTAAAACAATCACACACACAGTCTTGTCCAGCTTCTATCTGTGGACATGTTGCTACAGTGTTTGTATGCACAAAATACAGTGTAATGCGTTGTTATCAACCAGTATTGCTAACAATGACTAACCTGGCTTGAACTGGTAGTGCTACTAGCATCTTGGTTTTCTGACTTGTTGGACCTTAGAGGAATCAACTTGGGGGCAATGTCATTCCCAGCTGCAACCTCTGATATCTGAGGTAAATGGGCTGCACCATAATTCGTTCCGATATACTACAGAAGAGTACCCACTTCTTAGTTGGCTGTATTGTATCATAGGGTACTGTGATGCTCGGTTTTGACACCTATGTAGGTGTGCTGTTGACATAAAATAAAAACTTTATTTATATAGCACCTTTCATAACAAAGTTACAAAGTGTTCTACAATGAAAAAAAACATATACAAGATATAAAACAGGATAGAATAGTACAAAGAAATAACAGTAAAAACCATCAGATCAGAAAAAGACGAATAGTAAAAGTGAGTCTTAGGGGATTTAAAAGAGTGAAATGTGGTCGCCTCTCTTGGTACAAGTTAAAAGCCTGAAAGCAGCTTTTTGTGTGAGTCCTTGGGTGTTTTGCCTGCTGATGCCAGAATAAAATGTGGTGCAGTACTTTAGTCTAATGGAGATGAAAACCATGGATCTCTTTTTCTAAATGTGCAAAGGACAAAAATGACCTGACATTCATTAGATGTCTCAGTTTGGCAAGGCACCACTTTAGTCACCTGGGTATCAAAAGACAGCGCTGAGTCAAAGATGACATTCAGGTTGCGAGCTTCTGTTTTGATGTTATAAAATAGGACATCCAGACTACAAGAGGTATTGTTACAGGCAGTAGTGCTGGACCTGAAGGGAGTGATTTGCCCAAGGGGAAGCATGTATATGGGGAACAGGAGGTGACCCAGGATAGACCCCTGGGGAATGCCTCAGAGAGAGAGATGAAGAGAAGAGAGATGCTTGCAGCTATGAATGTTTCTTTGCAACAAGAGTCACAGTCAGTCGACTCTTTGAAGCATACTTAAGCCCCAAACAAAAATAAAATAAAATAAAATAAAATAGAATAAGGGCGTTCCACCAAAAATTCTGGTGTAGTTTGCACACTGCCTGTACGGATTTTTCCTTTTAGAACAAAACAAAGTTTTCAAAAATACTTGTGCACACGTGGACTAAGCCTTAATTATACCACACAGTAGTTCTAGTAAATGATCTGACATCTATGAGAAACACTTTGGAATTATTGTCTAAGTCAATAGATATAATTACTTAATAAGTACTTATGGCAGGAGAAAACGAGGAGGGAATTTTTTTCTTTATTTTGTTTACAAGTGACGATGCATAGCTCTGCAGCCTGGTATGAATACACGTGTTCATGCCAACATGTGCCTACACGCCCACAGATGAGCATGCAGTGTCAATGCTTCCTTGTCACAAAGGTATAAATTGCAGCACCTGCAGTCAGTGAAGGCAGTCTCCTCACAGGTTAGACACATCACGCACAATGTGGACCTTCATCGTGGTTTTCGTCCTTTTGACCGGTGAGGACATTAAACCTCTTATTTGTTATTGACATTAAATAAAATATTAACTGTGTTGTGTTGATGGTGATGATTATTAATCCATGTAACCACGTGTTGTTTGCAGCTGAGCACAGAGCAGAGGAGTATCAGAACACTTTGAGAGGTGTTTTGCATTATGTCTCTCCAGATAAACACGTAGTGTCTCAAGTTAAAAGGTAAGTTGCACATGAAGATGAAACATTTACACAGCTTCTGTATGATTCATTATCATTCTGCAGGTTTAACTATTTACAACACTGCATGTTTCACTGGTACTTCTGATCCTTCCATTAAATCATTCTGATTTATGTCAAAGCCTCTACAGTTCCGTCGAGAAGGATCGCCAATGGAAGATTGAGAGCACAGAGTTCGGACGGACCTTAAACTGCTCCTGGTCCAGTTTATACAGCTTACATGACGCAGAATTCGGCTTCCATTGCCCGGCCAATTCTGTGCTCACTGGCATGCACAGCTTTTACAACAGAGTATTCGAAGACAGAAGGTTGGTAACATGTTGAAATTATTCATTGAAATGTTAACACTACTGTATGATTAATTAATTTGAATTTAATTCATATACAAGCAGAGATATACTCTATTGCAACTAAGATGATGGGTTTATTTTCAGCTACATATCCATACTTGTTTTTGTTTTCCACTTTTTAATGAATGAATGAATCAATTAAAAGGTGTTAACAGGTAAATATCAAACTAATTAATGTGTCCATAACTTTACATTTAGAAGCATAAATGTAATCTTACAAAATTGAGGCTGAAAAATGACACACTTAAGTAAAGGTGAGAGGTGCGTTCACCTTTATGACAGTATTGTAAGGCGGTCTGATGCAGTTATTAATGCAAATGCTGTTCCTGCTCTTCACAGTCACATCATAATCAAGTTTCTCTGCCAGTGTTAATTTTGACAGATTTTTTAGATGTTGCTTTTGTCTTGAGATGAAAATGGGTATTAGTTTTAGTCACATTTTAGTCACATTATCCTTAATTGACATTAATATTAGTCTAGTTTTACTCTATGAAAATTTAAAATATTGTAGTCGAAAATTCACAACATTTTATTTGACTTTTAGTCATTATATTTTCTGTTTTTTTCTCTTTAAACTAATCCAGTGAGGCTAATACAGTGATCATAAATGAGATTCAAGGTGACAGGTTGTATAAAATAATGTGCGTGTCATGTCTCCAGCAGTGTGTGACAGGTTTAAGGGCTGATTTACGAGCACACACTTACTGATCATAATTTGAAAAGCTCAACATCTCTCTATTTATGCTCTCAACAAATAACTAATGTGAGCCAACTAGGATTTGTCCCCAGGTTCATTGAAACATGAAACATAAATGTCGTCTTAGTTTTTTATTATCAATATCTATTTTTAGCTCGTCTCGTTTTTGTCATGGAAAAAAGGCTGTTGACGAAAAGTTTTTTAATCGTTTATGTCAATGAAATTAACACTGTTCTCTACTTGTTTAAATATTAAACTCTCAATGGTTTCTGCGTCAAGGCAAAATTAACATTATGTAATGGTTTTGTTTCATCCGATCTTGCTTCAGCTGGAGTTTCCGCTGCTGCGCTTTTCAAGACTTGATCACATTTAATCGCCGGGAAACCACAATGGTCAACTACTGGAGTGAAGACTTCGACTGGCAACTCCCTGGAGGCCACTTCCTCGCAGGTGTCAGGACCCATAACAAGAATGAGGATGGGTAAATATACTGATGAGACCAGATGGTTCTATGTGCATATTTCTACTTCTACAGTAACAGTTATAAATGTACCAAGTCTCTATACATTAAAAGAATATTTCACCTGCAGAATGACCATTTGTACATCAGTTACCACCTTAACGTGAATACCTGAGGAACAGGGTATCTAAAAATGGCGTTCTTCATGAATTGCAGGGGCGCAATGTTAAACAACAGCAAAACTACGTCAAAACATCCTTTCACAAACTCTCAAGGTATAATCCAAGTCTGATGTATCCAGTCAGATTCTCAGTACTTCCCAAAGACACATGCCATGTCACTAAAAAAATTATCATATAAAACACTTCCACCTGCAAGTAGCGCACCCTGAGCCTTAACACATGCATACGTATGAGCTCTGCCGCAGCATAGTTCAAATGTACACATGCGCTCAGGCATGTTACTCAGCTGTGTGTGAGACCATGTGTATTAACATGTTACAAATTGTAATGCTGAAGTGAAAATGCATGTTTGGGGAAGTTCCTCAGAAATGTTTGCCGTTCTTGGATTCTCAGTTCTCTGTGGAGACATTATAGAAAATTAAAGTTATCTACGAGGGATGCACGATAATACTGATGCACTTCATCGGTATCTGCCAGTATCGGCTTTAAAATGATCTAGACTCGGAATCATCAGCCAATGTGTTGTTTCTTAATCTGCACAATGAAGGAATATTACATACAGTACACTGAAAAGTCTCCATCTGCTGGTGGGTTGTCACAATAAGAGTATGCATATAAAATATGATGTTAATTCCACTACAGAAGAGACTTGATGATCACTAAACTTAGGTGGGAAAAAAGTATTTATTGGTATCATTTATCAGACAAATAAGTTGTTGCATATCGGCATATTGATATCAGCAAAAAGGTGACACGCGGTGAATAATTATATGGAAATGGTCATTTTGTTGGTGAAGTATTACTTTAAATGAAACAATCTGCCCTTAAACCAAAGATCTTCATGAATTTATTGTGTGCAGTACTGCTGCCAGTCGAGTTGGGCTGATTTGATCAAATGAATAAATACGTCCTCAGCTATAGTTACCACACAGTAACATTGATGACTTGCCCTGCTGGGGATCAAAAAAGCTTACGTTATCTTACATTGTTTTTGAATTGACAGAGATCATCGCTGGAGTTTCAATTACTGCCAAGGAACAACACAAAGTAAATACTTTTATTGTAAATGAATGCCTTTGAATTCCATATATATGTATTTACACTGTCTATGAGAGAGATTAACATATTTTTTCAGATAAATTTAATTCAGCTGAACCATTTCTGATTTCTTTTTAGATATGCCGCTGGTCAGTTCCCAAATCCTTGCTGCAAACGAACAAATGTTAGACCTTTTAACAGAAGGAGACGTTGTCCTCCCAAACTCAAGGAATGCAAGAATCTGCAGTAGCTGCCTATGGCCAAAGTCAAGTGATGTGGTTGAAGTGCCATATGTCATAAATAGTGCCTTTACCAGCTCAGAGAGGACCACGATAACCGATGCCATGAGTGGCATCGACATGGCCACCTGCATCCGCTTTGTTCCTCTTAGCAGCCAAACTGACTACATCAGCATTGTGAAAGACAATGGATGTTACTCCTATGTTGGACGAACATCTGGGGCTCAACGAGTATCTCTCGGTACAGGATGCATTAATAACGGCATCATTCAGCATGAGCTCATTCACGTGCTCAGCTTCTGGCATGAGCACAGTAGAAGTGACAGGGACGTTTACGTCAGGATCAACTTTGAAAACATCAAGGAGGACAATCACCACAACTTCAACCAACATGAAACAAACAACCTGGATGTTCCATATGACTACACCTCTGTTATGCATTATGGGCCAAAGGAATTCTCAATGAATGACAAAGACACCATCACTCCCCTCATGTCCCCAGTGGAAATTGGCCAGAGGATAGGCATGTCTGATAGTGACATCCTGAAGGTCAACAAACTTTACCAGTGCAGTAAGTGAACAAATGCACTTTACTTTCTGACTAAATGTAACTTTTCCAGTCTCTAAGTCCACCTCTGGTCTGTGCCTGTAACTAACCCAGTGAACTAAACGTTTTTCTTACAGACGATTACCTCCATAGATTCGGAGATTGGGACAATCAGTTGCTAGGCACTATGACTCGCCAGTGTCCTTTTGGCCAAGCTGTTTCTGAAATCTCAAGGTGAGCAGTACAAATAAGTTCAATCTTTTTGTTAATCAGCGATCATGATTTCATATTTTACCTTATGAACAGTGGGTACATTTACATGCACACAAATAATTCACCATTATTCCAAATATGACAATATTTCGAATTTTTTACAGTTCATGTAAACAGCGTTTTCAGTTTCGATATCCCAGTTTGCCGTTTGCAGAATGTAGCATTTTCCGATTAGGTCGTGGGATATGCTGATTTTATTCATGTTTCAGGAGCATTATTCGGACACATATAGACACATCCAGAATCTGCGTCTCAGAGGGGTTATTGCGACATACAGCTTCTTATAGTCAGCTCTGTGTGTTTTCATGGATCCGTTGTACACACACCAACCAGCCAATAGTTTGAAAGCTGTGGTCGAGATGCATGCCTACAAGAAAAGCAGCCAGAACAGAAACACACCTACTTTATGAAAGACTTAGTTATTAACCGCTTCTGAGGTATCAGAACATCAAATATCAGAATCAGAATAAAATTTATTACTAAGTCAGTTTTCACTTAGAATAAATCTGCTTTGGTTTTTGTGCATCTGTAAAACATACAGTGGACATATTAGGAAGAATAATAAGGCTGCAAAACTTTAAAAATATAAATATAGATTAGAAAATAATGATACAATAAAACCTGGTTTTCACCCAAAACTTTTGATACAGTACCTTTAGAACCAAAAGTAACTCCTAAAAACATGAACCAAGACCCCGGATCTGTTTCACACCGTCCAAAAGGTCCTGGAACAAGCAACGGCCATTCTCTTGTTCCACTTTTCCGTATTTTGACGTGATAAACGACATGTTAGGGCATGTTAATCAGTGTGCACTTGTAAACGGGAATATTAGTGGAATGCTCATTTTATGTAGGAATATTGTCTTTTTCAGAATAAGGGAAAAAATCTGAATATGATGTGCATGTAAATGTAGTCAGTGCTGGAAGGGCCAGATTCTACTGACTTGATATTGTGGAGTATGATCACCTTTTCCCGAACTTTATACCACTGGTCAAGTCAAACATGTGAATATTAACCTCCATCAGTGTCGGAGCAAATGTTAAATTTATGTTATGTGAGCGCAAGATTCAAGATTGGAAACTTAAAATTTGGGCTACATGTTAAAAAGTACACCTGTTTAATAACCTTCATCTTTCTGTAGTTTAGAGTTTGTTAAGCAAAGGCCCGTAGATATTTTCATTGATATAATGAACACATTCATCTAAATCTTTATTCATTTGTTCATTATACATCATAAAGCTTTCTAACATGCTGATTTGTTTCAACAATAGTGTCTTCAACAACGACAAAAAAGATCGACTCTGGGCATTTTCGTGCAAGGCTTTCCAGAAACCTGAAACGTGCCGCTGGACAGATTACCAGAACGCTCCGTGGGAAAGCATCAACTTCAAATGTAGAGACAATGAAGTGATTGCAGGAGCCATGAGTGAATTCGCAACTGTGAGCTTCTTGGCAGACAGGAAGTGAGTCACTTGTTTTTGCCTTCATTACTAAAAATAAACCAACTCTTAATTTTCACCACAAAAAATATATGATATATAAAATAATGAACCTTTGAGTTTAAGTTGAGTCAAAGAATCCAGTTGTTTACTGTGTTAACACATTTGAAAGTCAGTCCAAATGAACATTGTCGTTTTTTAGCTCATGTAAATGAACGCGTCATTCCTCTATTTCAGATGGAAGTTTTACTGCTGCAGTGTTCCAGGTTTCACCATGTCCAACTGCCAAACAACACCGTATGTCAACTACTGGCGGGAAACCTTCACCTGGACAGTCGCCAGCGACAACTTCCTAACAGGAGTGAAAGCTTCCTTTAATATTGAATCACGGTAAGTTCATTTCTAAACTCTTTATCGCAGGCACACGTCCCACTTACATCAGGTTTTATACGTTTGGGTTGAATCAACACCATACCTACAGCGTAAGCTCAGCATAGACGCGTACCCAACTCTGTAGCCTGCACTGTAGCCTTGACGTGCACCTCCCAAGAAATGTAATTACACGCTGCTGCGACACAGACCTGTTCATTTTTGAAAACTTTAACCCATTTCCCTCAGTGGAAACAAAACTTTTATTTACTTTTATTTCACAGATAAGAAACAACAAATTGTGAAGACAACAAAGCCTCCACAAAATAGAATTATTAGTATAGTGTGTGATTTATCCTGGCCAGCGATGTCAGTTTCAGTTAAAATTACCCTCCAAAGCCCAACACCCAGTAACCAGTAACAAACTAGTTCATTTTAAAGAAAAAAAATGCAAAATGATGTGAAGCACAAAAGGCCTGTCCTTTTAGCTCCAGTGACAAAGTGAGCTTTAGCGCCTCATTTCAAACCGCTGTCCATTCAGAGGTGGTGAAATTTAAATTTTTTGTGATGTAAATGTTTTGCCTTTTATTTTATTTTCTGTTGGCTCTGCTGACAGACAACCAGCCAGCTGCGTTAACATGTGTGAACATGGTGCCTAGGGCTGCAACGATTAGTTGACTAATCGATGACTAATCGACTATTAAAATAATCGGTGACTATTTTAGTAGTCGACTTTTCATTGAAAAATACTATAAAAGTACCCAAAATACTCTTATTGCAGCTTCTTACGTTCAGATATTGGCAGCTTTACACACTCTCCCATGACGGTGAACTAAAAGCCTTTGGCGTGAGTACGAAACAAGACATTAGATGTAATAATTTTGAGGTTTGAGACAGACAGACAACATTTTCAACATTTTTCGATGAAATGATTAGTCGACTAATCGAAAAAATAATCGACAGATTAGTCGACAATGAAAATAATCGTTAGTTGCAGCCCTAATGGTGCCCACTGCCCACCCTCCGGTCTCCACTGGTTAGCTAACGTTAGCCTTGGCCATTCTGGATAGAAGCTAGCTGGTGGCGCTGCTTATTCTGTGATTACAGCTGTCCTTGTGGCTGATGGCATGCTGACACTGTTAACAGTGCCAACAGAGCTAACAGTAGTTAGCAATGCTAAAGGGGGTTTTTGGGTCAAAATGGAGCTGCTTATTCACCGTGACTCATCTGTTATGTGTGTTTTAGGTGCCACCGCCAACAAGGGTTCTGGAGGTGTAATTGTAGAGCGATGCAGACACGACGTAGCGTAGACCACTTGTGTAGGCTGCAGCATAGAGCCTACGTAGAACCAGAAATACATAAACCTGGATCGTATTTTTGCTTAAATTTATTTAATTTTATTTTATTTTATTTTATTGTCATTGTGCAGTCATGCTTGTGTACCACAGCACAATGAAATTGGGATACTGTCCACTTTGGTGCAAAAGAAGGCATATTAAAACGAGATAAAATAAAATATATGAAGAGTAACAATCCATGAGTTATGGTAAAATAGCCAACTATACAGACTTGGTTGTTCCACCCCTTGTCAGTAGGGGGTGCTGCAGCACCCACAGCACACCCCTTCCTGCGCCCTTGTATAAATCTGCCTTTGGACATCACCCTTTTTACCAGATATTCTTAATAAAACTTGAACTACCAGTTTGTAAATGCCCTTAAAATGTTTTTGTTTCTCGTTGACAGGGACCGTCGTTGGAGTTTCACATACTGCCACAGGCAGTGAAGTCACCATGAACGAGAAGATGCCTGACGAGACTTTTTGCTCTGCCACAATAACGCAGCAAACTGATTGCTGTCAAATCTTGCCTGTCTGAAGGCGTCCCTGATGAAATCCCTCATGACCCCAAAGGTCATTGACAGAATCTCAGTTTAGCATGTTATGTGTAACAAGATGTATGATGTCATAGGAGGTGATTTAATTGGACAATATGGGGGAAAAAATGCTCAAAGAATGCTTTCGATGTCCATCTGCCGCCTGCAGGTCTGACTCTGAGATTTAAGAGACTCATTGCACTTTATTATATCAGTAAGTTTGCAGCCATCACTCGTGGGGAAACACCATCCTGCATTTATAAAGATCAGAAGTGCTGATGTCAGATCATTAAGAAAGTGCCCCCAGCCATCTTCTTTCATAATGACCTGAACACAGAAACTGGTCTCAGAGCTGCACTCCTGCTGCACTCGTCAAAGAACACAAACCCACAGTGCGCTCACACTGTGTTGGTGCAAAGGCTCAGTGATTTCTTGGGAGATGTGTCCCGCTCTCACACACTGTCTCATGTTGGAGGGGCTGTGTGTGTGTTGACCAGAAATGGCAGAGCACATGTGTCGTGTTTCTTCTGTAAAGTCACTTTCCTGATGTTTTATTAGATTTGTAACATGAAGGATTTGATGAATGTAGATGAGATCAAGAAGTAATTCTCTGTCGGGTGAAATATGCTTCTCTGATGAAATGTGAACCAAACATGACTTGAATACTTTGATGTGTGTGTATATGTGTAAATATACAACATTAGCCTGTAGATTTTAATTCTGAAGTGTATTGAAATATATGAACGTAGATATGAGGACATGGACAAAGGGCTGTACTGCTGAGGTGTGTTTTATTATACTGGAAATAAAATCAACATGAATTATAATATCTGAGTTTACGGGCTCTTTTATTCAAACCCATAGGTCCAACCATTTTCAACTGCTTATCCGAAGCCGGGTACACAGCACCCATATCACTGCAGACGTTGTGCTAAACCGCCGATCCATCTCACGCTCCATTCTACCCTCACTCCTGAACAAGACCCCGAGATACTTGAACTCCTGTGTTTAGGGCAGGAACAGACTCCCAACCTGCTGCTGTAAAAATGGGCACATTAACCCTTTAAAACCTGAGCAAATTGTCCTGATTCCTTTAAAGAACTCAAGAAAAAGGCAATGAGGAACACAACAAGAAAAATTAGCAAGAATTAGTAAAAGTTGCAGGAAAATAACTGAAAAATTGTTAAAAACAAACAAACAAACAAGGAAATGACCTAAAAAAAAAGTGCTAAATATACGTAGAGGGGGAGAGAACGAGAGATTTTTTTTTCTGTAACATAATTTTTTAAAATATAATAATAACTTGTCCATAGCCATTGGTAGCTTTGTCACCTTCTACCTATGCCAGTCCTCAATGCCTATGTGCAGTTTCACATAGATTGACCACGTCAGTGAGTAGAAAAACGTGGGACAGACAGAATGACTGACTGACAGAATGACACACTGACAGTTTCCCTGATTATGTACAGCATACCATACCATGACTTAGTCATACCAAACATTAGAAAACAACACCAACATTGGTCCACAGGGGGAGCCACAGCGATCGGTCGCATTTTAGCCATTTTGAAGCATTTTTCTGTTGTTATAGCGCCACCCAGTTGCCAATTAGAGTTAAATTTCTCCAGTCACCTTGAGGCGTCCTGTTCTACATATCTACCAAGTTTAGTAAAAATCCATATGGCGGTTAGGCCTAGATAAGAAATGAGCTCTCTAGCGCCCCCATTTTGTTTGATGGGGTCAATAATGGAGGGGTCCCCTCAGATTATGTGTGGTCATATGCCTACAAAGTTGCGTGGTGATGGGTGAAACCCTTGAGATGTTATACACCTTTATGTGATGAGCCACGCCCTCCGCAATATTCATTGCCTTATAGAAGCTCAGTTTTAGTAAGTTTTCCAACTTTTGCCAAGAGGGAACTTTAGATATTGGTCCCTAGATTATGTTCACCCAGTTTCATGCAGATCGCTCAAACTTCCTAGGAAGAGATCCATTTGAAGTGTTTTTCAAAAAATTCAAAATGGCGGAAAATCTATATAAGCGGAAGTTATGGGTTCTTGAGGCAAATGTGTTCCTCATGAGGAGAGGCATCTCTGTGCAAAGTTTCATGTCTCTACGACATACGGGGCATGAGATATGCCCATTCAAAGTTTGACATTTCAATGGGTTGCTATAGCGCCCCCCTTTGGCCAATTGATGTAATATTGCTTCATTGGCATCCTCCCATGACCCTCTACCACTGTGCCAAATTTCACATGGATTGACCAAGTCAGTGAGGAGAAAAACATGGAACAGACACAGACAGAGTTTTCATCATTATATAGTAAGATGATACATTTTTCGAAGCATTGTTTTCTTAGTTTCTTGGTAATTATCTAACAACTTTCCCTCTCTTTTCATGTTATTTTTCTTGCCAAGTGGCTTTTTTGCACTTTTTCAAGAGAAATCAAACCAGTTTTCTCAGGTTTCAAAGGTTGAACTGCTTGTGAAAGGCGTCTGAATGCAGCACAATAAAACTAACTCAGAAGGTTCACATTTTTGTAAAACACAGGATGATGAGTCTTTTTCAGATGACGATTAATGTCCACGCTGAACTTTATTGCCAGCAGGTTTTTTAACGGTGCAAACAGACATGCTCACGGTGTCTCATCAGCCTGTCAGTCACATATGTATGAATAATGTACGATAACATAAAGGTATGACTGAACTTGACCAAGTTAATGAATCTGAAATATTGCAACAAAAAGTGAAGGCATGCCACATTACAACAAATGAGATAAAACAAAAACACCAACACAACACAGCTCTCACGAGGAGACACGATTTCTAGTGTCGTGAACCTGAGAGACCGAACTAGCAGAGAAAATGGAGACAGGCGGGGAAGAAATGGGAAAAAGAAAGAAATACATCAAAGAGGGGGTAATGAAGCTTGTCCAATCCTGAAGAGCCACATAAGAAAACAGAGATGCATTGATTGTGGTGGGGGTGCTGGGAGAGAGATGGAGATGAATTATGATGAAGTTGTGGGTGATGAAGGCAGAGGAAAAAGAGAGGGGAACAGATGAGCACGGCAGCAGGTGGATGGTATTACTTTGCCATTGTTAAAGTCACTCCCTCTCCCTTTTTCTTCGGCCCTATTATCTCCATCTCCCCCCCCTCCCCTCCCCTCCCCCCTCTGTCTCTCTGTGTCCTGTGAAGCGAATCCTGGCCCTAAATGGGAACAGAGGTAGCAGTGATCACGCTGGTATTCTCCAGCAGGGCCCCTTCCTCAGCTCATTAAGCCCACAGCAGAGCTCTACTTACCTACCTGGGATACAGCGGGATTTAGAGAAAGAGAGGGATGAGGAGGGTGAGTCGGGGAGATGCAGTGGGCTCTCAGGGTGGGGGGGAGCTGGGAAAAAAATGGAGATAAAAACAGTCAGTGGATGAGAGAGATTACATTCAGTAAAAGACGTCTCCGGTGTTTGAGCGATGTAGGGACTCTGGAAACCTCTGATTCTGATCCTTTAAACTTGCATAACAGTCCATGTTTGTTGCCTCAAATAGCACCAAGCAGGACCTGATGGTAGAGACAGGTTTACACCTGAATCAGAGCATCACAGTGAAGACTGAACACAGTGAAGCAGGAGGAGAATTTGTCCCTGTTCATTTTCTGTAGGAGACAAGTGAATGTCTTGACATACCTGCATACACGTCATTTACCTGCCTTTATTGTGCCAGAGCGGTTCATGTATTTTATACGTATTTATACTGAATCTGTACCTTTTATATCTGTGTACTGTCTACTTCTGCCCTGCATGTTTCAGTTAGTACCTAGCACTGCTGCTCTACGTCTTATTTATTGCATATTTCAACATCAACATTATTTCCTATTCCCCTGTTTTGAGGGTAGAATGGAGCGCGAGATGGATCGGTGGTTTGTTGCGGTGTCTGCAGTGATGCGGGTGCTGCTCCGGACCGTCATGGTGGAGAGGGAGCTGAGCCTGAAAGCAAAGCCTTAAATTTCCTGGTCCATCTCCATCCCAACCCTCACCTATGGTCATGAGCTCTGGGTAGTGACCGAAAGAATGAGATCACAGATACAAGCGGCAGAAATGAGTTTCCTCTGTAGGGTGTCTGGGTGTCTGGTCTCAGAGTAGAGCCGCTGCTCCTTTGTGTCCGACCCCGGTCAGTTCAGGCATCTGATCAGGATCCTCCCTGGCGCCTCCTGTCAGAGGTGTTCCGGACATGTCCCACTGGTAGGAGGCCCCGGGGCAGACCCAGAACACACTAGAGGGATTTAGATCTCATCTGGTGTGCTCTTTCCGCCTTAGGCTTTCTGCGTAGGCCCAAGGAAAGGCAGAGAGGCCCCAGAACAAAGCCATACCGCCAAATACAGTACTGCAAAAGTCTCAAGGCAATTGAATTGAACGCAACTGGACTTAGTTTTGTCTTAGAAGACGTTTCACCTCTTATCCAAGAGGCTTCATCAGTTCATGCTTGTCTGACTAGTTGAAACGTCTTCTAAGACAAAACCAAGTCCAGTTGCGTTCGATTCAATTGCCTTGAAATAACAATGACCTGGATAAATGAGAATATCCACAGGCAATACTGCAAATGGAAATAAAGTTTTCTTTGACTCAGTTCTTCCTCACAATATAGACGTCTTTGACATACCGTCAAACTGTCACTTCTTCATATTCTGTTAATAATATTGATAATTGTTTAAAACAAACATTTTGCCTTATCTTACACAGTGCACCTTCAAACTATTCCTATATCTAAAACAATAAAAATAATGAATTCCATATGACTAGCAGCAATAACAGGGGATGAAAGTTCAAGTCTGAGGACAGCGAGCTGTCTTGACAGTGCTGACGTTTGTGGGGAACAGAGTCGGAAATTCCAGGTCAATAGAAAAAAAGTTTTCCTTAAAGGTCGAAGGCCATCGGTCAGATGTTAAAAAGACACCTTCACACTATTTACAGCAAATCCTCTGAATGTTCGACTCACTGATCTGCTCCTTTTGGATACGCACCACAAACACAAGTGCAGATTAACTGAAGCATTTTTAATAGCTGTGATGCAAAGCAGTTTGTTCAGCCTTCCTCCGCACTGAACAAAATAGCTTCTTCTATGAATATGAATGTAAATGAACTACTGTGGAGTTGGTACAACAGATAACTTTACAGCTTTGAAGCTGGGAAAAACAAACCTACAGTTCCCTGCATTAATGACAATACATCACTTTATTTCTTTCATTCATTATTTTTTATTTCTGTAAAATGCTAAATAATTTGTTCCATCCCACATTTGATTACAAGCAGTGTTCATTTTGACAGATATTTTAGATTTAATCTGAGTCTTGAGATGAAAATGCTTATTAGTTTTAGTCATTTTTATCCTTCATAGTTTAAGTCGATGAAAACTCATTTATTACACCTCTCATTGATGTTGAAGAGCGTCTGCTGCATTTTGTCTTCAGACAGTGACAGTTAAACAACATCGTCTGCGTACAGAGGAATACTTATCATGTAATAATCATATCCTGAGTGTTGTTATTGTTACATAGAAGCATGTCAGTAAGGTGCTTCAGATGATGTCTTCAGGAGGCTCTAAATGATATAACAAGGAAGAAGATCAAATAAACAAAGAAAAAAAAACAAGTGAACAAAAAAGAGCAAAATAGAAAAGAGGAAGCAAAAGGCAAAGTGGGGAAGAGGAGAGGGAATGAGAGGGCCGGGCTCTGAAGCAAGACGACGGTATAGTGAGAAGGGAAGATTACTCCTCTGTAATGCTGTGCTCAATGAGGGAGAACCCGATGAGAATAAATTTAAGTCCTGGAGAT